TGGTGGACTAATCCAGAAGGCAAGTCTCGATAGGAGGTTAAGAGTGGATATAATCCTCACTAGATAGATTCCATGAGGACAAGTGACAAATAAGGTCTCCACCCATACCCTGTAGGAAAAGCCTGAAGTTTTGATGGAAAACCAATAGTGGATACATTCCTTACTAAAAATACCCATTGAGTGCAAGTTACAGGTAAGTTCTTGACCTATGCCCCTGGAAGACGAGCCCAAGAGACAAGTTTCAATGACAAGCTAGTAGTGGATGCATTTCTTATTAGAAAGACTCCATAAGTCAAATGGTTGGTAGAGTTTCCACTCAAAACTCTTAGAAGGCTATAAGCTCACATGGTAAAAAAGAGTAAAAAAAATCTCAAGGGGCTATAAGCCTCAAAAGGTTTTAATTACTCAACAAGCTCGATAAGCTCGAAAGGTATGAATCTCAGAAAAACTTAATGTTACAAGCCCGGGAATCTCATAAAAACTTAATTACATTGCAATATTGATCTCACAAAAAGGTTATGAGACTCCACTTTTTTTTTCTCTTCTTCTTGGCATATTTATAGCTCAAAAAGGGTCGAAAATTATAAAAAAAACCAATTTTATAAAAAAATTCTTGGATTTTGCAAGAAAAGTGCCCACTGCCCGATCGGGGTTGATCTGTGCATGCATATGTGGATCCAACAAGTGAATGCCCATCATTTGATCTCCGATCCCGCGTTCTATCACCATAGTCTGATTCGCTTCCTAAAGATCATGATGTGTGGCCTGTGGCCCCTCGCTACAACTCGCGCCATCCACCCTCTAATCCAGCTAGCGCTAATCGTTTTATCATTCACCACAAATCACTAACTTGGTAGCCCCATGACACGATTGATCTAACGACCCATGTTGACCCCTCCTTTGTGGCAACCCAATAACTTACCATGACAAGCCTCGACATGCTGATACATCGAACCTGCTTCAACTCACTTCACCGCAACAACCCGGTGACCCTCCAGTTTGCACAATCCCTGTGACACAACTAACCAGCCTGACTTTTAGAGACTCGTCGGACCCGTTCTACCCGACAATGACTTGCTTGACCCGCCGACACATCGACCAATTCCACTTGATGGTGACCCTTGGTAACTTTCCGCCATGCACCGTCTGCCGCCAACCATGTTGTCACCACTACCCACCGTTGTTGCCCGCCACCAATGTCCATGACATTGCCTCTGACTTTGTCACCGCTCTCCGACGCCCTCCACTATTTGCAGCCGCCCGCCACCTCCTGGCGACAAAATAATTTTCTTACATATGAAGGCCATGAAGTTCGAGCGCAGGTTAGCGGGGAAGAGAGCAAGAGCATGTGCTAACTATGATGGGATACCCCCCACCCCCGCACACACACTTACATTACACATACTTACTTTAGAGCTGTATAAAAAAATAAGAAGAAAAAATTAATAATTCATATTTCTGATATTTTTTAACAACAAAGCTTGCTTTGCCAAAAAAATATGTGGGCAATTGATATACAATCAACAAATTTTAATCATTCAACATGTATTTCGAGGCGTGACATAAATTTTGAGGTAATTTTTTTTAGCAACAAACTTTCAAACTTCAATTAAAAAATCATTAAGAACTTTGATTTCGACAAACTTGTAGTCAAACTGACTGACTCCACGAGATGAACGCAATGATTTCAAAGTTGATCGAATCTAAGTCAAATCAAGCCCATATCAAGGCATTAAATAATTTTTGGAGGTCAAACAAATTTCAAATATGATAAATTTATAATCAAATTGAGTGTCACAATGAGACATATCCAATGAGCACAAGATCAATCAATTATGACACAGTTAATTCACTCAAATGTATGTAGAATGTCATTTGATCAATGGTATCTTTCCGGGTCATCCTATTTCATTCCTTACTTATTGAGAGGTCTCTCTAGACTCTATAAATTGAACCCTACCACAATCATGAAAGGAGAGGGAAGACTTAAGCTTGGAGGAGGATAAAAAAAAGGAGCTGAAGTCCAGTGTTCTGCACCGAAGATCCGACGAATGATTTTTGCTCTTGCCGCCGCCGAGCACCGTCGACCATTGCTAGTTGGCCGCTATCGACCATTGCTCGTTGACCGCCATCGACCATCGCTCACCGACCACCATCGACCACCAGCGGTTGCTCTCTACTTTTGTAAATAATCATTGTGAAGAGTAACAACCAACATTGCGGAGTAACGAAACACTTTATGAAGTAGCGGCCAACATTGCGAGGCATTCTATGTAGCAAGGTGTTGTCCCGAACACCGCACCGTGATGCTCTTCGAAGATAGTGTACCGAAGTTCCTGCTGGACCGTTGAGTGACGAGTCCTCTTGCATATGCACACTGTAACTATGTGCCCTTTTCTCACTTGTAGAATAATGGCCTATACCTGTACTCATAAAGCTATAGTAGATTATTTCTGATTGGGCTGACCCCGTGGTATTCTCCCTTTCCAGATTTTCCGCATAGAAATTCTAGTATCTTTATCTGTCACCTTTATTCTCTGAGTATATGCTAGATTTTCGTGTAGCACCAGGACGCTAACCAATCACTCTACCATCACGAATCTCCTCAAACTCATCAATCTTATTCAAATAAAAAAATGAAGCTCGCAACTTAGCACAAAACCCAAGGAAATCATGGCATCCATAATCAAGACTCTTCCATCATCATGCATGCTCCGGCAGTCAAACCGAGAGCTATCATCATTGTAGCAGTTGAAAGATTTTCCCTTGCTTCTGCTAGTGTCCACTCTCTGCCCTCTTCAAAGCAGCCATTGGGTCCTCCCATCTCTCACCTTTTACTCTCTCTTCTTCCCCCTCATCCATTGTCATGCTGCTTTCCTCTACTTTTCTGATCTCCAACACTCAGTTGAGCTCCATCTTACAAAAAGTCACCTGTGAAAAGTAGCACTTTTGGCATGTCTTTACATAGCATGGCTTGGATGGGATGGCCATGTAGGCCATCCATTCCATCCCTTATTTCTCATGAAGTCATGCCCACCTCATCAAATCGTCATCTTCCTTAGCTTAAATGGCTCATAATGCTTAGTTTATGCCCTAGATTTATGGGAACATGTGCATGTGCAGTTGCAAGGAGCCCTTTTCATGATAACACTCCATGAATACTTTGCATGGGATGCCTTTTTAATGGCAACTGCATGCACTCCAAATAATGCACTCATTATGATTAAAGGGCATAATAGTTGAGCTTATGAAACCATTGAGCCCACCTATTTCATTAAAATCTTTCTGTACTTTGATAACTTGTGTAAATTCTTCTGCACATTTTTCATATCTTATATAGTTTTGAAATGATTCTTTATATTATTTTTCATTGAGATAAATTAATTTCTGCCAGAGCTTGTAGCAAGCAATTTGAATTTGTGCCAAAGATTGATTTAGATCACATGAAAGTAAATTTCTAGCATGTCAATGTTAATTGAGCAAAGTATTACTAATGATATAATGAGGTTTTAAATAATAGGTTTGCAATGAAGGGATTGTTCTTAAGAGGGCAGTTACACAATGCATGTGGTGATATAAATCATGGGCTACATTGCATCTACTTAGAATTTCTGTACAAGCCCAGAGACATCACATAAGGTCCCTAGTTGGATGAGTCATTGCATATTATTTTTATAAAATTTGACAGATGAACTTTGAGTTTATGAAGTAAGGAAAGCCTAGTATAACCTCGCAACAACATGAACTTATTGTCTGGATCAAGGAACTTTTTCATCATTTCTTTGGTGGTAATGAAGTTAACCAAAGAAAGACGACAATCAAATGGCCTAAGGAGTTATGTGGGAAAATGTCGACTTGACTACTTCTTATATATGCCACATTTTGCTAAGTTCGCAACTAAGGATCAACACAAGCAGACCTTTAGACTGTCCAGCTACACTATTTCTAGAGTATCTAAGTATAATGCTTCACTCTTTATAAGATGTGGCCATCTTTTGATTTATAGTATGGAGGATATAAGAGCATCATCTCACAATAATCACCCTTTATGCCTTTTACATATTGCGGGCCTTCCATCTCATATAATAAAAGGCTCTTTTGATGCCCATTGCCATTTATATCATGCTTTGTCCAACAACCTTTAACAGAGAAGTGGAGAATATAGCAAAGCATTTAGGGCTTAAAAACATTGCCTACAAGATCGACCACTACGTGCTCCTAATTACTACACTACAAGCTATAGAGTACTATTATAGAAATATTTGTTAAGAATGATAGAAATATCAGTAAACAAAATGACAATAATTTCTATGAGACAGATCTATCAACCATGTAATTATTTTTGTTGATTGAGTACTATTATAGAAATATTTGTTAAGAATGATAGGAAAATTGATGCCCAAAATTTGCTATGAGACAGATCTATCAACCATGTAATTATTTATGTTGATAAAGTAATATATGAATTATGAGTTAGTGTATCAATCACACAAAATATTTCTAACATGGGAATTTTTAGTTTACTAAACCATTAAATCTAGTTTGAAGTGTTCAAAATACAAGAAGGGAAATCCTACAAATCCTAAAAGACACAAGAAATAGAAATATCAGTAAACAAAATGACAAGTGACAACTTTAAGTTATTCAAAGGTGATGAGACTTATGCTCCAGTGACACTGGTATAGTGCTTTCTCTATATTCTCCTACATGCTCCAGTGTCAACCAAGGACACAATCCTCCTTAGCCTATGTCTAGGTTATAAGAAGAGTTGGAAACTATATTACAGTTAAGAGGTATTTAATCATGTAATGTTTCCCAGGATTCCTTGGATCTCCTATGTTGATTACATTTTCTTACTAACAATATGTCTATTTTACTAAGCTATTGTGTGTTGACTT